CCAGCAGTTCGGAAAGAGGGGATGCGCGATTCGTTGGCAGGGCCAACATTTCGTGCGTGCTCGCAAAGACAAAAAAAGGAGCCAGGGCGGCTCGTGAGCGGGTGTTCTTACCATTTGACCGGCGTGGATACGGTGCTGACCGGGTGCACGTGAGCGAGTGTGCTTACCATTTGGCAGGCATGTGTGCAGTTCGGAGCGGGCGCACTTGAGCGGGTGTGCTTACCATTTGGCAGGCATGTGTGCAATTCTGAGCAGGTGCACTTGACCGTGTGCTTACCATTTGGCAGGCATGTGTGCAGCGGGTGCGCTTGAGCGGGTGTTCTTACCGTTTCGCAGGCATGTGTGCAGTTCTGAGCGGGTCCGCGTGAGCGGGTGTTCGATACATTGCTGACCGGGTGCACGTGAGCGGGTGCGCTTACCATTTGGCAGGCATGTGCGGGCGCGCTTGAGCGGGTGTGCTTACCATGGTTTCGCGAAACGACGCGCCTGCCAAACGACTCCTGCTCAACCTGCACCATTGGGTGATGCACTGCACAAGATTCGGTTTTCCAAGTGCCACTGTTGAGTGTGCAGTCATACACCAATCCGACATCACCATTGCAAGAGCCACTCCCACTTTTTTTTGCATCTGGGCGTCCGGACAGGAACAACGAGGACGAAGTTGGTGATGAAGAGGCCGTGAGCAAACCAGGATGCAACAAAAGACCCACCCAACACCCCAGAACATTTAACTACTAAAAGGGCTAACCCTTTCAATCGTTCAAAACGTCAGCCCCCAGCCCAAGAATGAAACAGGAGGGCATTTACCCAGTTGACCACCTTAACGAAAGCAATATATCGGCTCCCCAAAACACCCTTTTTCAAAACGAATAAGGTGGTTAATAGGTTTGAAACATAACAGGCAACCATCAACAGGTCACCCCCCGGCTAACCCCTTTTACCATTTCCCCCCCCACTGCCAGCCAATGCTACTTCACAGAGGTCCACAAGGTGTCAAACAGACAACAAATGCATGTGTGCCACCCACCATAACCCCCCTGATTAAAGACGGTCATTATGCCTTGGCAAAAAAACAATCAAATGAACATGAGCATTTAAATTACAAAAACTATTGACCAACCGACCGACCGACCAAAACAAAATGGCTGGTACATTGGTGGCTCCCGAGAAAAGAAGGCGCTTAGAAGGAAAACCGCCTAGTGAAGCATCAAAGCATGAATAAACAAATGAACGAGCGCACGAATTAATGAATGAAATAAAGAATAAATGAGCCAACAAATCAACTATCGGCGAAATCTCTACCATTGGGGGTCCCTCAATTTTGAGACAAACCCATCTGCTCCGGCCTTTGCAGCAGAACACGTCGTGCCGCAGTTGCTGCTCATCCACAGGACCGAAAGGCATCAGAATGACTGGCCGTGCCATCCACTTGGCAGTGTCCAAGAGTAGCTTGGTCACCTGAGGCCGACATCAATCAAGGGCATCTTCAGATACAAACAAATAGCCCGTGTTGGCCGCGTTTAAGAGCAGCTGACACAACCCACTTGAGCAATGGTTCTTGAAGGCAAGTCGGGACAGTAGTTGTAGCTCAGCTTGCCTAAACAACTGTTGGTCTTTGCCCCGCTTGTGCTAAATGGGAAGTCTGGAATCAAGGAATCAATCTCCGCTGAAAGTTCCCCCATGGAAAATCGCATCATGTGCTTCGATTTCCGGAGGCTACGAAAGAATACTTACAGGTGATAAGCCATGTCTCTTTAAGCCACTGAAGAACTCGCACTCGACTTGTGTTTATCCCGAGCCCCAAACTTGCCTGAGTGCATAAATAAGGGACAGGAAAACTTGAACTTGGGTGTGTGTGAAAAATAGATACCCAACATGGAAAATTCTAAATGGAACCAATGAAACCTCTGGTCCATATCCTTCAATTTTGACCCATACCGCAATTCCGCCTGCGGAGCATCGGGGACCAAGCCCTCCTTGCCCATGGATCCAAAGCCGATGTAGATGGGCAATCCCGACAGCTGGCCCGTTTCCTTGGCAACAAGGCATGTTGCCCGAAGGGAGAGATGCCAAACATCAAGAAACCATCTCCGGGAAATTCGGTGGGCGAACTTCCTGAATCTTCTGGAGACGATTTCGAGGGACAACTTCAAATCTTGATTGACCCGAAAACGGTGCTAGGTCCTCCACTGGAGATAATTTTGGTACCCTTTTTGCTGTAGTCTATTTTAGTAGGGGAACCCTCCCAACCAAGAAAAGAAACGGTGAGAGGTCGGGCACCATTCGCTGGGGGGGGCCTAGGAAGCCGTGTGCCGTGCAGCTGGGTCTCGACCTTGGCACGGCAGTTTTGCAGGAAGTCCGTCAAGTCCGGATCCTCCGGCCCGCTGGAGCCGCACGCCTTGTGGAACGAAGGAAGGTTTGGCATCGTAGGTATCCTTATCTTCCTGGTTGCTTTCCTTAGGCTCCCTTAAAGTTCTACGGAAAACCTGTGAGTTGACCAAAAGTTGAAGTCCTAACATCCCTTGGCCAAATTGTCCTTCTTGGAAAATTGATGGGTCTCCCTAATGGTATAATCTCAGCCAGTGGAACCCAGCTATTTCTAGTCAAGCTCACCTAAGGACGCCAATGCCGCTGGTTAGGAAAACACGAGGGGCTGTGGGAAGCTAATCCACTTGAAGGATACCACAAGGGACGGTGTGGAGTGAGCGGGTACTCCCTCACTCCCTGAGAACCAGCAAGGATGGTCATGACCACTTCCCTTAAAGATCAATATGCAACGATATGCATGTTTGCAGCCAAAGCAATCCAGGCAATGTTCAGACCACAGGCAACCGTTCCAAAAACAGGAAGCCAATTCAGCCAATGGAAGTTGAGCATTTGGGTGTATGCTTTTTGAGTGTACCCTTTTGTTCGGTTGGTGTCTGGAAAAACTACGTGGTTTGTTTCCTGTTGGCGTCCTTCCTTTAAACCAACCAAGAGGGGGTTACCCCAAAACAAGGCACACCCACATGGTGGTTGATGAACAGGTCCTTCACGAGGGATGTCCATTAGGGGAAACTAAAAAAACAAGTTCCCACATGGGAAACATAGCCATTGGGATGGCCCTGGTTTTTGCAGCCCCCAACTTAAAATCAAAAGACCCCAACTTCAAATCAACAGACCCCAACTTAAAATCAACAGACCCCAACTTCAAATCAACAGACCCCAACTTAAAATGAATAGACCCCAACTCCAAATCAACAGACCCCAACTTCAAATCAACAGACCCCAACTCCAAATCAATGTTCAGACCCCAACTTCGAATCAACAGACCCCAACTCCAAATCAACAGACCCCAACTTCAAATCAACAGACCCCAACTGAAAATGAACAAACCCCAACTTCAAATCAACAGACCCCAACTTCAAATCAACAGACCCCAACTTCGAATCAACAAACCCCAACTTCAAATCAACAGACCCCAACTTCGAATCAACAGACCCCAACTCCAAATCAACAGACCCCAACTTCAAATCAACAGACCCCAACTTCAAATCAACAGACCCCAACTCCAAATCAACAGACCCCAACTCCAAATCAACAGACCCCAACGTCAAATCAACAGACCCCAACGTCAAATCAACAGACCCCAACTCCAAATCAACAGACCCCAACTTCAAATCAACAGACCCCAACGTCAAATCAACAGACCCCAACTTCGAATAAACAGACCCCAACTTCAAATCAACAGACCCCAACTCCAAATCAACAGACCCCAACTTCAAATCAACGGACCCCAACTTCAAATCAACAGACCCCAACTTGAAATCAACAGACCCATCCTTAAAATCAACAGACCCCAACTTCAAATCAACAGACCCCAACTTCAAATCAACAGACCCCAACTTCAAATCAACAGACCCCAACTCCAAATCAACCGACCCCAACTTCAAATCAACAGACCCCAACTCCAAATCAACAGACCCCAACTTCAAATCAACAGACCCCAACTTCAAATCAACAGATCCCAACTTCAAATCAACAGACCCCAACTTCGAATCAACAGACCCCAACTTCAAATCAACAGACCCCAACTTCAAATCAACAGACCCCAACTTCAAATCAACAGACCCCAACTTCAAATCAACAGACCCCAACTCCAAATCAACAGACCCCAACTTCAGATCAACAGACCCCAACTTCAAATCAACAGACCCCAACTTCAAATCAACAGACCCCAACTTCAAATCAACAGACCCCAACTTCAAATCAACAGACCCCAACTTCAAATCAACAGACCCCAACTTCGAATCAACAGACCCCAACTTGAAATCAACAGACCCCAACTTGAAATCAACAGACCCCAACCTCAAATCAACAGACCCCAACTCCAAATCAACAGACCCCAACTTCAAATCAACAGACCCCAACTTCGAATCAACAGACCCCAACTTCAAATCAACAGACCCCAACTTCGAATCAACAGACCCCAACTTCAAATCAACAGACCCCAACTTCGAATCAACAGACCCCAACTTCAAATCAACAGACCCCAACTTCGAATCAACAGACCCCAACTTCAAATCAACAGACCCCAACTTCGAATCAACAGACCCCAACTTCAAATCAACAGACCCCAACTTCGAATCAACAGACCCCAACAAATCAACAGACCCCAACTCAAATCAACAGACCCCAACTTCAAATCAACAGACCCCAAATCAACAGACCCCAACTTCAAATCAACAGACCAACCAACTTCAAATCAACAGACCCCAACTCCAAATCAACAGACCCCAACTTCAAATCAACAGACCCCAACTTCGAATCAACAGACCCCAACTCCAAATCAACAGACCCCAACTTCAAATCAACAGACCCCAACTCAAATCAACAGACCCCAACTTCAAATCAACAGACCCCAACTCAAATCAACAGACCCCAACTCCAAATCAACAGACCCCAACGTCAAATCAACAGACCCCAACTCCAAATCAACAGACCCCAACGTCAAATCAACAGACCCCAACTCCAAATCAACAGACCCCAACGTCAAATCAACAGACCCCAACTCCAAATCAAAGACCCCAACGTCAAATCAACAGACCCCAACTTCAAATCAACAGACCCCAACTTCAAATCAACAGACCCCAACTCAAATCAACAGACCCCAACGTCAAATCAACAGACCCCAACTTCAAATCAACAGACCCCAACTTCAAATCAACAGACCCCAACTCCAAATCAACAGACCCCAACCAAATCAACAGACCCCAACTGAATCAACAGACCCCAACTTCAAATCAACAGACCCCAACTTCGAATCAACAGACCCCAACTTCAAATCAACAGACCCCAACTTCGAATCAACAGACCCCAACTTCAAATCAACAGACCCCAACTTCGAATCAACAGACCCCAACTCCAAATCAACAGACCCCAACTTCAAATCAACAGACCCCAACTTCAGATCAACAGACCCCAACGTCAAATCAACAGACCCCAACTTCGAATAAACAGACCCCAACTTCAAATCAACAGACCCCAACTCCAAATCAACAGACCCCAACTTCAAATCAACAGACCCCAACTTCGAATCAACAGACCCCAACTTCAAATCAACAGACCCCAACTTCGAATCAACAGACCCCAACTTCAAATCAACAGACCCCAACTCCAAATCAACAGACCCCAACGTCAAATCAACAGACCCCAACTCCAAATCAACAGACCCCAACTTCAAATCAACAGACCCCAACTCCACGAATACCTTAATCCCTGCTCCAACCACAGTCAAGGGCTATGAACCTGGGCTTCCATCCCCTGACCGGGGCCCCCGGCCCAGTGCCCACAGAGCTTCGCCGCCTTCGGCACGAAGCTGCCGGCGCCGGATAGCAAGGCCTGGGGCAGAGGCGTGGGGCAGAGGAGGCGTGGTTTCCCTGGTAGGTGAGAAAAAACCAGCTGGTAAACCAGGGCCACCTAAAACAGAAAACAAAACAACCAGAACAACCAAAACAAAAACAACCAAAAACAACCAAAACAACCCATCGTTTTTCGACCAAAGCAACCAAAAAGGCCACCTGCCTGGGGGAGGCCCAGCAACAGCTGGGCACCTCTCAGTTGCTCTGGCGCCAGACGGTCCTACGTCATGGCTCAAAATCCCATAGGGGACCTCCCAATCCCCACAATAGGCGTCTGGCCATGGGTCAAAATCCCATTCCCGAGAACCTCTTAATCCCTGCAATGGGCAACATAGTACCATTGGTTCAGTGAAAATGGCTGGTGAATTCGATCACCTGCCTTTCAAAATGGGATACCATTGGTGTTGACCCGCAGCCACATCTGGACTTTGGGTGAGCCACGGAGTTTTTCGGAAGCCCTGGTTGATTGAACATTGGGGAGTGGTCCCGAATTTAGGGATTCATCGCTTGTGCAAGGGGAATTCCTTTTGGGAGGGTGCCCGTTTTTTGGCTTGGCGGTTTTAAAGCGAAACCACTAGCGAACAACTATTTTTGGGGGGTCCCCTAAAAAGGACAGACCCAGATGTGGGGAATGGGAACCATGGTCGGATTGAAAATTGGAGGGTGTCCCTGTTGGATTTTCGGAAGGTCTGGGGCCTCCCCTTCGTCAGGTAGATTGAAAAGTGGAGGCCCTTTGGAAGCGGTTTCAAGCCGTGTCCATGGCGCGCGGCATGTTTTCCATGTTGACCCAAGCGCCCTGAGAGCCCAGTCGCGGCGGTTAGGCGGTTCATCGCCTGAATGTGACATGCGGTTTCACACTCCTATAACTTTACAGGTGTGAAACGCTGGCCCCTCATTGTGGTTACGTGCAACGTCTCCAGCGCCCGCCTCAGGTCGTCCCAGCGCATAGCCTTCCTCATGCTGTCCGCCAGCATGTCCTGCGTGGCGATCCAGTAGATGTTGTCGGTCGCGTCCTCTCCTGCACCTGGACGTCACCTACTGCGCTTCCTCTGGACCTCCACAGCTCCTGGCAAAGTGCCGTGAGGTCGATTGCCAGCCTTTTGTTGCGGACAGGCGCTGCCTGGGTGCCGGAGAGGTAGTCAAGCTCCGGCAATTCGTTACCCGGGCTTCAGCGCCTTCACTGGCGAGCCCATACGTGACGGCTCGTATAGTCTCCGCCTGCAGCGTCGACCGGCATACCCTCGTGGTCGATGCCCATTCCAGCATTTACCTGGCGTGCTGGACATCAAGAAACCATCCTCCCTGACTGAGTCCACCCCGCTTGCCGTTCTCGTTGACCACTTCCTCCGCCGCGCGGGATGCGTCGGTCAAGCTCAGGATCTTGCAGTCGTCAAAGTCGACCATGCTCTTGTGGAACCTGATGCCGTAGGTGCTTGTCTTCTGTGCTGAGCTCAACAGCTTGTTGGATTCAATCAGGTCCCCGACGTTGGGCTTCCTCTGACGGCTCTGCAGCGTGGCTCACTTGTAGCATAGCCTTGCCACATAGCCTATGCTTCCCACTGCTCTCATCTGCGATGTCTCGGCCAAAGTGGCCGCCTCCTGAAATTTATTCTTGCGCTTGGCATCGATGCGGATCCTTCACCTTTGGCGCCGTGGTCTCTATGTAGTCCTTATGGTCGGAGATGCTTCCTCCGGCAATACTGGAAGGTATCCTGCTCCTTTGATTTAAAGGTATAGCGCCTCTGTACCACTTCCATGAGCCGATCCATGTATGTGTGGTTGCCATCCCTGGGACCTTGCCAGTCTCCTTCAGGACGTACAGCACGGGCTCTCCTCGTAGCTCGCACCATCTCCTCCCGCAAGGCCAGGTACAATCTTCGGGGAGCCTCTGCTTCCGTCCGCCGACATCTCTGCCGTGTACAGATCTCCTTCACCTGCTGCGGTACCTGTGCCGTCGTCAGGGTCTCATCACCAGCGTCCCACGGCGGTCACCTGGAACTTCCAGTCCTCCAGCAGAGGGTTGCGAAGGCAGCCCCTTGCCGGATCAACAGCCTGGCGCCTAAAGGCATCCATCCAGGGACATGGTCAGCGGGTAGCAAAAGCCTTTTGCTGCTCCCTGGCGTTCTGTGTGTAGCTAGGCCCCTGATCGAGGCCGCTGCCAGTTTGAAAGCGGGTTCAAGCCGCGTCCATGACACGCGGCATGTTTTCCATGTCGACCCAAGCACCCTGAGAGCCTCAATTGGCATTTCACGGGTTGCACAAGGAAACCAACCAGTTAAGGGGACCATTATTTTGAGAAACCCACATTTGGGTGGGTCTGAAAGATGACCCCTACAAATCAGTTTCCCTTTGAAAAAACAATTGCGGACCCAAAAAAAGGGACCCAAAAAAAGGGACCCAGCAAAATGTTGATTCGCCCACTTCAGTTTGCGTTCGGCCCCACCAAAAAATGGAGAACCAAAAAAAAGCACAAACCCATTTGGTCCTTGTCTCCGTGGGTGTCGTAGCCGGGCACCGGACCTAAACCCAGCAGCTCCTCTCGCAGAAGGGCGTGGCTCTGGGTGAAGACCGGCCACAGCCATTCCCTCGCGGCGGACCAGTTGAACTCGTCACATGGACCTGACGAGTAGCCCAGCGGCCGAGCGGCGCGGATGGACCCTCTGCGGGGATCGGCGTGGTCGAGGTGCGTGTTTTTTTGTTTTTTTGGCGTTTTTGGCGGTGCCCGCGCGACCCTCTGCGGGGATCGGCGTGGTCGAGGTGCCAAAACTCGCGGTTTTTTTTTTGCGTTTTTGCGGTGCGCGGATGAACCCTCTGCGCGGATCGTGCGTGTCGACGCGCTCCGCACCCTCTGCGGAGATCGTGGCTGTGGCGCCGTGCGATTTTAGTACTCGCGAAATGGCCTTTTGAAGTTGTCTCGTGGTCTGCGCGCCTGCTTTCGCAATCCCGCGGTCGCGGGTTCGATTCCCCCCTGGTCCGCGGCAGGCTGGAAAATCGCAACTTTTCAGCATGAAAGTAGTACGCGAAGTAAACTTTCGCTGCTCCGGCTGGACTATCGCAACTCTTGAGTACCGAAGTAGCACGCGAAGTAAACTTTCGCAGCTCCGGCTGGAAAATCGCAACTTTTAAGTACGAAAGTGTTTCGCGAATAGAGGAAACTTGTTCAGAGCAACTTGCTGAGAGAACTTGCTTGGAGAACTTGCTCAGAGGACATCGCGCCGACAACTTGCTCAGAGCAACTTGCAAAGAGAACTTGCTTAGAGAACTTGCTCAGAGGAAATCGCGCCGACGACTTGCTCAGAGCAACTTGCCCAGTGAACTTGCTTGGAGAACTTGCTCAGAGGAACTCGCGCCAACAACTTGCTCAGAGCAACTTGCACAGAGAACTTGCTTGGAGAACTTGCTCAGAGGAACTCGCGCCAACAACTTGCTCAGACGCGCAACTGCGCGGAGAACTTGCTAGGATTGCTAGGAGAACTTGCTGCCGCTGCTAATGCTTTCGGACCACCCATCTTCTAGTTTTTCCTGTGTTGCTCTTCCCACATTGATCCATTGAATCCCTTCGGCCTGCGCGGCCGTCTCGGCCCCGCAAGAGCGCCAAGAGCTCAGGCATGGCCTTCCCCATCTCCTGCACGGGCTCGAGCGTGTGTGGTGGCGGGGGGGGGGGTGGCAGGGAAGATTACGTACAATGTCTGGCATTTCGGTTGACAATGATGTCATGCACAAAAAGGGGCCTCAGGCCTGCATCGCCTTCATGGCCTTCAAGTCTCCAAAAGTGATGGGGCAATCGCATGCATGGGCCTTTCAGGCCGAAACTCACACAATGTGCCGCCATGCGCCTTTAAGAGAAAAACGGCTCATTGTTGCACATGGACTCTTTTGGCGCAATCCCAAGAGTAGAAAGGAATGTCTTGGCATGCCTCACCCTGAATCAGAACCAGCTAGTTTGTAGTAATAGAAAAAAGGGTGAGGGGTGATGAAGACCAGATGTTTCCTCCCCCTTTCCTTACCAAACTTCAACCGATTCAACATGAAAACAAACTTGACCCAACAAAAAGCCGTTAAGGGAAGGACGGTGATCAAGTTTTATCAAGTTTACAATGTTTACACCTTTACTTGTAAATTTGGTAATTGTGGACCGACTTCTTACAAACTAGCTTGTGCAATTTTCAACCCCCCAGCAATGTTTGTTCAAATCCAGTTTGTAATTCTAGATCGGATGCTTTCTGACATTGAAACTTACTCTGGGGAATTTGCTTTCCGGGGAGATTTGGCTGTAGTTTTTGCAGATTAGTTTCTGAACTATGCCAAATTCCAACAAATATGGTTTAAAATTCAGCCATTTCACAAATTTCGCAAGTACATGTGTAAAAAGTGAAATTTCCAGATTTTACAAATTACATTGACAATTTGAAAAAATATGCTCCAAAATTACAAATTGCACAAATATTTGTTTTGAGAAAATGGCTTCCAGGAGAATTTGGCAGGAATTAAATTACATTGTTTTACAGTTTTTTTTACTTGTAAAAGTTGAACATTTTGCTAAATATAAAAAACCCATTCCGAAATTACAAATTTTACAAAGTTTACAAATTCTAGTCTGAGAAATTAGCTTCCAGGAAAATTTGGTAGGAATTAAATTACAAATTGTACAATTAATTTGTAAAGTTTGTTAAAATATCAAAAACATGGTCCAACATTACAAATTTTACAAATTCTAGTCTGAGACGTTGGCTTCCAGGGGAATTTGGTAGGAATTAAATTACAATCTTTACAAATTTTACAAATCTTACAAATTACTTTGAAAAAGTTGTTAAACAAAATCGGGTCCAAAATTACAAATTTTACAAATTCCAGTCTGAGAAATTGGCATCCAGGGAATTTGGTAGGAATTAAATTACATTTTCTACAAATTTTATAGCTTTACAAATTAAATTGTAAAAAATGTAAAATATCAAAACAAACCATTCCAAAATTACACATTTTTTCAATTTTTACAAATCAATTTGTAAAATTTGTAAAATATCAAATTCCAAAATTACAATTCTACAAATTTACAAAATTCTAGTCTGAGAAATTAGCTTCCAGGGAAATCCGGTAGGAATTAAATTACAAGTTTTACAAATTTAACAAATCTTACAAATTAATTTGTAAAATTGTAAAATATCAAAAAAAAACCTGGCCCAAAATTACATTTTTTACAAATTAATTTGTAAAATTTGTAAATATCAATCAACTCCAATCCAAATTTCAAATTATACATTTTTTTTACAAATTCTAGTATGAGAAATTAGCTTCCAGGGGAATTTGGTAGGAATTAAATTACACATTTTACAATATCTACAAATATCTACACAATTTACATATTAATTTGTAAAATTTGCAATTTTGGGCCAGATTTCTTGATATTTTACAATTTTACAAATTAATTTGTAAGATTTGTAAAAATTGTAATTTAATTCCTACCAAATTTCCCTGGAAGCTAATTTATCAGACTAGAATTTGTAAAATTTGTAAAGATTGTAATTGTGGGCCAGATTTCTTGATATTTTACAAATTATACAAATTAATTTGTAAGATTTGAATATATTGTTAAATTTGAAATTTGATTCCTACCAAGTTTCCCTGGAAGCCAATTTCTCAGACTAGAATTTGCAAAATTTGTAATTTTGGAGATTATTTTCTTTATAATAGACAATTTACAAATTAGTTTGTAATATTTGCCATTTCATTCCCACCAAATTCTACTGGAAGCCAATTTCTCAGAATTTGCAATTTTATGAAATCAATTCCTCCCAGATCTGCCTGAAAAGCCATCCCTCAGTGGGATGTCGACGCCAAGACAGAATGGGAGGGGGCTGTTGCTCCAATTTGGGGTATGTTTTGCTGCCCCAACCTGGACACACGCAAGCAAACCAGCAACCCATATGGGTGTGGGTCAAAAATAGGCTAACCGCAAAATGGAACACTGGTAATTGCACACATGGACTAAAACCTGCGGTTTTGTGGTGGTTTTCAATTTGACCCATAGCCATATTTGGCCAGAGCTGTTGCTCTTACAAGGTTCGACCTGTAAGTTGAATGGAAAAGCCGCTGGTTTCCAACAAACTTCCGGGGGCTGAGGCCATGAAGAAGCACTGAGCTGGCCCAAGACTTGCAGCGGGTGGGAAAAATCCATGTCCACAGCACCAAAAAAAGAGGACTGGGTACCCTCCCACCAACTAACATGAAAGTGGAAAAAAGCCCCTTTCCAACAGGAAAGTAGTCTTGTTACGGGTGTCTGTGCACTTGCATGTTAGTCGGGGGGAGGGTGTGCGCCTTTTTCTTAATGTTGCCCCATGTGTTGTGCGTTGTTTCTCCCTTTTACGGGAAAGCCAAAAGGAAAGCCACGATTTTGGGGATCCCCGAAAAGACAGGTCCAATTGGATCTCCAGGTACAGAACCAAGCAACACCAGCATCCCAGTTGATCACTGGGATGCTGACTGGAATCACTCCTTAAGCCTTGTTACCCCAGCAGCGGCAATGCTCGCCCTCTTGCGCGAGCATTCAACGCATCCTGTAGAAAGTGAACGCATGAAACAACTCGCTGCTTGACACATGTGCTCATTGCTTTGTGATAGTATGGACCAACAAGGGTCCCTTACTACTTCTGCCTTTGTGTCCAACATAGCAACTCTTTCAAATTGTTTGGTTCATGTCGATTCTGTTTAACCGTAGGGGTCCTTACTTTTGACACACAGCTTTTCCCTTCCTCCCTTCCTCCCTTCCTCCCTTCCTCCCTCCCTTCCTCCCTTCCTCCCTTCCTCCCTTCCTCCCTCCCTTCCCTCCCTTCCCTCCCTTCCCTCCCTCCCTCCCTCCCTCCCTCTCCACTCCTCTCCCCACCCCTCTCTCCACCCCTCTCTCCCGCTCTCTCCCCCTCTCTTTCTTTCTCTCTCTCTCTCTCTCTATCTCTCTCTCTCTCTCTCTCTCTCTCTCCCTCCCTCTCTCTCCCTCTCCCTCTCCCTCTCCCTCCCTCGCTTTCTCTCAGTCACCCACACAAATCGAAGGACACACTTCTCAATGAATGCCGCCTGAGGCCCGATCGGCTCACGCGAAGATGCCGCCACGTCGCCCAAAGCTCGCCCCATCGGTCCTCTTCGAAGGTCGGGGGCATGGCGTAGGGCACCAAGCAGGGTGAGCAGCACAGCCAAGGCACCTGCGCCCCGCTGGTGGATTTCACCCTTTGGATGTCATTCACGTGAACACTTGCTGGTGCGATCGGTAGGGAATGACCTAAAGTTTTGGGAAGGAACCTGGGGATTCTTTGGGAAACCTTGTTTATAGGGGTCATTCCCTCATTCCCTGCTGTAGTACCTCAATGCTAGTGCTATTAAGCAATAATTTAGCGGGTTCCCTTTCTGGATTTTTTGGAGTCCGTGCTCTCTTCCAGACGAGACTTCCCAAGCCATAGATCCCGGCTCAGTCGAGACTTCCTATGGGCCACTTCTTGGCCCTAAACAACTTGCTCAGAGCACCTCTGGGCCTTTTTCTGGTCGATCTTGTTGGTATTTCCATAACAAAGGGAATCACAAGCTGGCTTGCATGTCTGAAGCACATGCTGGTTTCCATGTTTGTGGGTGTGCTTCTTTTTTAAAGGTGCGCTTTTCCGGCTGTTTTACAAGGAAACCAAAAGGAAGACCGAAGCCATGGTCGAGTCTTGATCTCTTCTGCTTTGCGAGGAAGCCCGCAGCCATGAGTCGGATCGATCGCCTGCAGGCGTTCTGCGAGGTGAAAGACCGGGGGCATGGCGAAGAGATTGCCTGAGGTTCTTCGCCGATCCCTCTAGCCCAAACCTTAGTGGGGGGATTTTCGGGGGGAAAAAAGAAACATAACAGATCCTACAAAACATGGCCCTCCATATACAAAACATGGCCCTCCATATGCAAACCTTGGACATCTGGAATACAGACCCTCTGGCCCAAGCCTTAATTGTTCTGAGGTACAGAGAAGTCAGACATTGTCAGATTCTGTTTCATACCTCAAAAGAGAAAAATAAGTCGAGATTTAGTTTTGTGGTGGGGGAATTCCCGAAAAACAAAAAACATAACAAATCCTACAAGACATGGCCCTCCATCTAGAACTCGACGTCGGAGGCCCGAGAGCCAAGGTGCAGACCAAGGCATCCGCGTCCTGTGCCAGGCTAATGGCCTCGACCCACTCCCCGCGCCGGCGACCCTGGAGGTCCAGCATGTCCTCGAAAAACGCGGCGCTTCGCTCAAACTTGGGAAAACTTGATGTGCACAATGAAAAGGGTGGGTCTCCCTTTTCTGGTGGTTTCAAGGCACAGCCTGAAGCCATGCTTCTTTTCTTCTTCTTTTTGAGGGGGGGTCCTCCAGTGGAGAGGATAGAATAAGGGTACCGGTTCTTTTTTCTGCAGTCTATTTTAAGGGAACCCTCCCCCAAAAAAGGGTAAAAGGGCACTACTGCGGGCCTAGTTGATTTTAAAGGACAGCCAACCGGACAACTGAAGCCGTGAAATTATTTTTTTGACTGGGGGTGCGATAAAACAAGGCCCCCAAGCATGTTCACTGCACTCGCTTGTGGGCTTCTCCAAGTGAAATACTTCCAAAAAAGAAACAACTCAATCGAATTTGGTGTGTTTTGGGATTGCTGCCAAAACCCAGAGTCTCACCAGAGCGCAGCGCTTGGGGCTCTGGTCTGTATTCTGAAAGGACTCATACGCTGGAGGAGCCGTGGGTTGCGAAGCGAAACCAACAGCTAACTCATGATGTTTAGAGATCTCCCGCGCTGAGAAACATGTATGGCGCTTGGCTTGGTGTTGGCTTGGGCGCACGGGTGATCGGGGTAGCACGAAGCATATATGCAAAATACACAAATATGTAGAAACATGATGTCGCAGTTCCCCTGTCCAGAAGAGCAAAAACCTCATTTCACCCAACCTTCCCCACAGCAAGTCGAAAATCAAGAAAGGGCGGAATTCACTCGTTGCAACTTGGATTCCCCTGTCCGGAGGGGTACGTCATATGTCACCTGTGCCCCCTGGGCACCCCCTGACCTCAGCTCAAGTTCGAGTCGCCGGGGTCTCTGCCTCTGTCTTGGTGG